GGCCTGGCCAGCGCTGCCGTTGTGCTCTCTCCCTCTCTCCCAGGTGCCGGCCCCTCGTCCCCTGACGGAGCAGGCCCTGAGGGACGGCCTCTCTCTCCTCTGCAAGACCGGTAATGGCCTGGCCCACGCCTATGTGAAATTTGAAGCCAAAAACATGTGAGTGTGCAACACCTGGCTCAGGAGAAAGCCTCCTCCTCCCCGGGCACCCATGGAGCAGCTGTGCCGTATGGCCACCAGTGTCCAGCCCTGTGGGGTAGGAGTGTTTCCAGGCCATGTTCTCCACCTGTCTGGCTTGCACTCTGTGCCTCAGCACAGCTTGTCCATCCTGGGGGGCCTTCACCATAGCCAGACGCACTGGTGAGAACATCAGTGTCCCCCTTGGCTGAGGAGAGCCTGTCCATCTCTCTGGACTGTGGTCTCCTAGGGGGACCTGAACAGGTTGACCTCCCTGCAGTCACTCTGAGAAATATCCATTAAGCATCTCTTCTGTTAACTGCTCACCTTTAAGGCAGGTGCTTGTAAGTACAGTGCCACAATGGCCTGGGGGCAGTTTGGAGCCTCAGCCCCATCATAACCCGTGACCTAACTAAAAGGCCTCAGTAAGACTGTGCCTTTCAGCAGCCTCATAGGTATCTCAACCAGCTTTTTCCCAATAGTCCTTCCACACAGTCTTTGGTGTTCCTACTACTGTCTAACAAACCCACCCCCAAAACTTACCCTCTTTTCTGCTCTGGTTCTGCCCTCTCCTGACAGATACAGTTCAATGGGAATAAGCACTCCCTGTGCGAGGGAAGCAGGGCCAATCTAACCATCCAGCCTTGTTTAACAGCTGTTCAGTCCGTCTGTATCACTTGCCTTTTTCCTCCTTCTCTGCAGCAAGGCTTCCTAGGGCAGCAGGGAAGTGGGAGAGGAGGATGTCCTTCCTCCAGCAGTGGTGAGGAACAAACTGAAAGCTGGTAGCAAGGGGGAAATATGAGAGATGATTTATTCACATCCTCCCTCCCATAGGGACTTGACAGACATCAGTCTCCTTGAGTGCTTCATTCACCTGCGGTACGTGGATTTGTCAGAGAACAAGCTGCAAGATTTGTCTCCGCTGAGCAGCCTAACCCACCTGCTTTGGCTGAAGGTGGATGGGAATCTGCTTACCAGTGCCTGCATGCAGGAGCTGCCCTACCTCCAGATCATCAGCTTTGCTCAGAACCGCATCAAGGATATGGAGGGCATTACTCACCCCCGCTTAGCCAACCTCAGCCTGAAAGGTGATACAGGCCGCCTCTCTTCATTCTTGTGCCCATAGGACACTCTCTTTGGGTGGGATTAACTCTCTCATTCTTTCTTGCTCCTCTGGCACTCAGGAAATAAAATCCAGACAGCGCTGGGCCTGAGTCAAGGCCAGTTGTTCAACTTGCAAATCCTGGAGCTGCGAGGAAACAAGATAGAGAGCACAGCAGGGCTCAATCTTCCCAAGCTCCAGAACCTCTATCTGGTAAGGGATCAGTTGGCTTGAGGAGTGGGACAGAGGTGCTGCAGAGCCTGGCACCTTCAGCCAGGGGTGGAAGGGAGATGCCATCTCCTTCAAAGCAGCATAATTTTCATGCCAGCCCATTTGGTTCAATCTTCTCAGCCCCAGAGAGGAACAGATTTCAGAGAGCTATAGAGACAAAATCTCTTATTTGGGGTAGCTCCTTCTACACTGTCTGTCCAGAGAGCACAAAGGCAGCAGGCACTGACCAGTAGTTCCTCAGCAGAGAGCAGGGAGTTGGCAGCGTTCACTGTGTTGGTTCTTCCCTCCCAGCCTCCCATGGGAGAGCAGTGTGCTCCTCTGGCAGTGCTAGGCCAGCCTGTATTTGCTGTGTTCCACCATCCCCAGAGATCAGTGGGGAAAGCAACAGGCTTGCTCTGGGTGACAGGGGGAGGTGACGCCTCTTTCTCCTCTCTGATGGGCCTAATCAAATGCTGGTTTGAAAACAGCACAATTATATGATTCATGGCTTCAGTTGCCAAAAAAAAAAGAAGCTGATTGAACACCACAGTGAAACTAAGACAGGAGAAGCAATTTCCTAACACCATAAACAAGTGCTTCAGGGAACATTTACTCCTAGAGACAGACACAGGTGAAGAAAGGATGTATGGCTCAGTCCCATGCATCACACAGCTTGCAAAGACTCGGTAGGTTTCCTGAGTCACTACCTCTTAAAAAGCAATTAAAAATGGTAAGGGCTTTGGAAAGCTATTTATTTTCTTTTCATCAAGACTCCCTCCCTGGCAGACAACACCAAGGAGATTGCTTGCTGAGATTGCCTGCAATTTTCTGGTAGAAAACTGAGATTTTAGGACTCGAGATGCTGGAAGAAGGGATGGAGTGAGTAAGTCACTAGATACAATACAAAATTCCAAGTAAAACCAGTCACTTTAGTGAATGATCACAGAGAAGCAAACACAGCACCTGTATTTAAAGAAGGTTCCTGGCATGATTGAGGAATTTCTGAGCTGCACATACGAAGTGGGCAAATTGCAAGATGTGATTATTAAAACTAGAAAAACTGACTCATTCCTCAGGAATCTTTGGGGTTTGAATTTGTCTCCCAGTCTGCCAGCTCACTAAATCATTTTGGAGGGGGAGGGGGGGGGGTCTCTCCCAGCATTGCTTTGCTTTCTGAATAAAGATTGTTTGTGTTACTTGAGCCATAGGTAGATGAAGCTGACGCCTCAAGGACAGGGTTCAAGACAAAGGGTTCAACTTAAAGGACCTGCACTGAATTTGGTTGATGTATGACATAGTTGCAGGTGAAATTTAGCATGACAGAAGTTATAGTGACTAGCAGGAAGACTACGAGGTGGCTCCGTACCCTGTGGCACTTGTTTGCGGATGGCTGCTGTCAGCAGGGCTGTGCTAGGTGCTGGTCATTGCGCAGCAGTGGTGGCAAAGGACAGCTAGAGCAGGGCCAGGTGTGCAGGAAGGGGGGAGGGAACCATGGGCTTTCCACCAGAAATGGTGGCATCACGTCTATGTGAAGAACTGGTACCTGAGGTAAGGCGGTGTGGGCATTTAATTACAGGTGTCATACAGAATGTTATTGGATTTGGGGGAAAAAACGAAAACAACCCTGAAGAACAATCCATTCTGCATTGTCCTATTAGCGCTTGCGGGGCCAGAGCCACTAAAACTGTTAATGCTAAGTAATGAAGAAAGTGAGAGTGATGGGAGCTTACGATTCATTTCACAGACCACTGGTCTGTGAGCTCCCCACCCTATTTCCTACACCGCTCCCGATTTCCTCAGAGGTGCAGTGTACTAATCCCTCCTGACTGCTAAATCTGTTCACACAACCTTTGCTACGTCTCTGACTTTCCTCCTTTTCTCCTTGTCTTACCCTCTGTACTTGGCCCCACTGGTCCACACTTTTCCTTGTCCAGTTTCCATTTGAATCATCCTTTTTTACCAAATGTCCTTTTCCTGAGTGATCCTGTCCTAAGCTGTTTTCCTGTCCCACCAGTCCAGCCTGTGCCCTTTTCATTAGTCTCAGGTGTTGGCCATGTCACTGCCTGGGTACCAGCAAGGAACAGAGAGCACAAAGGCACCTCTCTCCCCGTTTCCCATGCAGGTATCTATGTCCTTAGTGACTGCAACCCTGAGCCACAATCACACATGAAGTCCTGTCCTGGTTTTGCTAGGACAGAGTTAATTTTCTTCTTAGTAGCTAGAATAGCTGTGTTTTGGTTTCAGTGTGGGATTTGTTATGAGAAGAACATTGATAACATACTGATGTTTTTAGTTGCTGCTGGAAGTCCAAGGTCATTGTGTTTTGCTAGTTTGCAAGTGCAAAGAACTGGATGGGGGGGAAGAGTAGTAATTGGCAAAACACAAGCTGGCATTTGGATGTGCCGGTGAGATATTCCATGTCATAGCGTGCCATGTTCAGTATATTAACAAGGGCTGACTGGAAAGCTGGGGATTCTCTCAGGGATCACTTGGGCTCGCTCTTCCAGGACTGCAGTTTCAGTTTCAGGACTGTCTCTGCTCTGGGATCGCTGGCTGGGGACAGGCTGGGCATCGGTTGGTGGGTGGTGAGAAACTGCACTGTGCATCACTCATTTGCATGTTCTGTTATTACTGTTATTATTTTATTTCAATTAGTAAATTGTTTTTATCTCAACCCATGAGTTTTCTCCCTTTTACCCTTCCAATTCCCTCCCCTACTCCCTGGGAGCGGGAGAATGAGTGAGTGGCTGAGTTTGGCTGCCAGCCAAGTGAAACCACCACAATCCCTGCACAGCTCCAGGCTGGAGAACGTGGCAGGGAGGTTGTAGTTACCAGGGATGTTCCAAACTTGGCTGCAGAAGGTGGTGAGCAGCCTGACCTGGCGTTGGTGCTGGCACAGTGCTGAGCCCAGGCTGGGGCAGAATACTGCTGGTGCTCTCTTCCAGCCCAAATCCTGCCGTGAAACTGTCGCTGAAATTCAGGGCTTCCTATTTCCCCATCTCATAACTCGGATCCCAGTGAAGTGAATGACACGCACTGCTGGGGAATTTTTAACTTGCTGCCATACGACTGTCAGATTTATTGCAAGAAGGTGCCCCTATGGATGGATAACAGCAATTATACCCAGAAAAGCTTGAAGTTAAACCCACCAACAACCCCCTCTGCCCTGCTTCCTCTCTCAGGGACAAACAGCCTGCTTCTGCTCCTAGAGGAGCAGGAGACTTCTTGGTGGCAGATTTCCCCCTCAAAAGAAGCGGCTGATGCTGGAAGATCCCTGGACTACATGGACAATGTGACTGAGAGGTGCTGGTGATCCATCCCTTAAATACACGTTTCAGGCTCAGGTCTGTGCCTTCCCCTCCACGCTGTTGCTCTCTGAGGCCTTAAGGGCTCAGATTTGGCACTGCCATGGACTGGGGTGCTGTGCTGGCAGTGGAGTCTTCATCTGGGCTGGTTTTGTCTCAGACACTGGAGACAGGAAACACTTTTTCAGCAAACTTTTGGTCCTTGAATCTGATACTTAGAACCCATTTGTGCAAGACCCTAAACAACCTGATCTAGCTTCAGAGAAGGCTGAATTATGAGTGGCAGGGAGTCTGAAGGGTAGGAAGAGCTTTAAAGGCTACAAATAACTGCTGTTCCTTCTCCTGTGTGTCCCCTTTGCCCTTCTCTCTTCCTACCTCCCTGGTGCTCAGGCCCAGAATGCCATTCGGAGCCTTGAAGCCCTTGAGGGGCTTGGACATCTGACGATTCTGCACCTGCGTGACAACCAGCTTGAGACCCTGGATGGATTCTGCAGTAGCATGAAGTGCCTGCAGTACCTCAATCTACGGTGGGTCCTCCCTGCTCTGTGTTGGACCAGAGACCCCTTCCTCAGGCTGTACTCCCATTTCAATCTTCAGGATTTTCTGGTTCCTTTGGAAGCTGAAGACCTGCTAGGGATGGGTTGATCTTTACCGGCCCTAACTGGTGTTCAGCACTCAGCTCTCCAGGAGTATAACGGCTCAGGCCCTTCCTGGGCTTCTCGGAAAAGATCTGCCCCACTCTCACACCCCACCTCATACTTTTTATTCTTTGCCATAAGTCCTTTGGATCCCTCTAAGTGTGTTCTCTGGGTCCTGGACATGACCACGAGTGCCCTTTACTATTTGCCATTTGCCATACAGGATGATGGTGATATCACACAACTCAGTGGACTGTTTGAGCACAGAGACATCCAGAGATGTCCTTTTTGTTCCTCAGACTGGGGAGCTGCAGACAGATCTGGATCTTAGATTTGTGGTCTAAGGTCTATGGTCTCATGCTGCTAAGTTTCACTTTGTCTTGTCAGTGTATTGTTCCAAAGGGATCTCACTACCTGCATGTGTCTGTTTCCCCTGCTCTGTGTTCTTCAGGAACAACAGGATCAGCAGCCTTCAGGAGGTGGAAAAACTGCAAGTCCTCCCCATGCTGCAGGCACTGGTGCTGTCGGACAATCCATGCTCTGAGGAACCCAATTACCGGCTGGAGGTCCTGGTCCTGCTGCCAAACCTGCAACGCCTTGACAAGGAATTGTTTGAGCAAGATGAGCAGGCAGAGGCAAACGAAATGCGTCTGAGAAGGCAGGAAGAA